TGGCTGGTGTTGTTGCGGCATTGGCTACTACTTTGGGCCTGGACAGTTCTGGTGGGCCAGCCTCAATCACCCTAGTAACAGCCTGGCTACTACCCAGAACAGTCTTTCTTGGTATGCTCACAGGATGCTTTGTGCAATTTCTTACTGGTAAGGTTACATAAGGTCGCTTTCCAAATCGCATTTCCAGCAGGCCTTCCTCAATCTCAAGTTCAGCAAGATGGACGTTGTTTTCCTCAGGTTCAAACAAGAGAAGAGGGTCTGATTGATCTACAACTGACGGGATCTGACACTTGACCCATGCAACCTGTCCAGCTGGAACTACAGTGTCATAGTTGCCAGTTCTTAAAACTTTTGGACACATGATGGGTTTGCCTGCCTGAATGAAGTTCACCAACAGCTCCACCTGATCCACAGAGGCAGATATGGAATGAGAGAGGAGTGTGGTGAGGGCTGGAAGAAACTCTGTTTGTCTATCCTGAACCACCTCCTCTAGCACACTGAATCCCAGGATTGGCCGTTCAAGGTTGATGCTACTGATGAGGAAAGGCACCATTATAGACTGACTAAGAGCAGAATTTCCGGCGAAGCTGACTGAGATGAGGACCCATCCATCAAAAGGAAGAACTCCTCCGTTCACAGCTTGTATTTCCAGCTTTTCATCATCAAAGATTTTACTGAGGGGCCTCACCGGTGCATCCGGTATGTACCTCTTCTTCCAGTTTTGATCAATCATGCTCACTTGAGCTCCGGTGTCTAACAGAGCATCAACTGTCAAGCCGCTCAGGTCACATCATGCGAGGGCTTTGGCACCTATGAACTTGGCTAGGCGCCTGCTTGTTTGAGTGGGCAGGGAAAGGGGGAATTGGGGGTCATTTACATTGTTTACTTTAGGTCTTCTATTCAGCAAACTTTCCCTTGTACGAAACTCAGAGCTGGATACATTGCACTTAACACTGTGGGACTGAACATGAGACCCGGTCACTGGTTGTCCCGTTGCAGCGACCGGCTCCAGTTTTCCTGACGCTTCGGCTTCTTTAGGCAGCCTACTGCTCTGTGGCCGTTTTCACCACAGTAAAAACAGTGAGTGCAACCTGGGAGGTTCTGTGCGAGGCAATTAGCACAGCTATTTGACTTGGGTTTCGTTCGTTCCACTTGAGCTTTGTAGTGCTGGCAGGGCTCGGAGCTGTGAATCTGCTGTGGCCGTTGCAGTTGCTCAACTTTAGTCATTAACCCTGCTTCTTTTTCAGTTAACAGCTGAAGTGCATTAGCCTTTGGCTGTTTATCTGGAGCATCTTTCTTTGCACCATTACCTTGTGCAGCTGCGACTTCAACCTCCACTAGCTCAGTGCTATGCACACTTACTTGTTTCTGTTTCACGCCTGACCCCAAACGTCTCTGTCGTTCATTCTCTGTGCTTGTTATCTTCATCATTTGTTTCAAAATTTCTTCATCAGACACACTGCTATCAGAAAGTAATGTTTTAAGTTCTCTGCGTATGACATTATGTTTGTGGCTAAGTCCTTGATATATGGTGTGTAGGAAAATGTCTTTAACTGTGTTCGAATTGTATTTCACTTCCGTGTCAGCATGTTTTTAGGCAATGTGCATGGAATGAGATTCATTCTCCTGGAAGGGGAAGACCACCTAGTAAGCTGCTGAAAAGCTAAATTAAGTTGTCGCAGAGAAACACCATACTTCTTTTTAAAAATAAATGGAGTCTTGTAATCTCAGTAGATGTAGGGGTTTAACAAACCCACAACATCCCTCAAAACATCTTAAAAGTTTGTTTTGGACCACAGAAAGTGTATTATTTCAATTTATATTCACAATTTTCGCCAACATCATCTGCCATTGTTGCTGGAGGGTGACTAATCTGCTTGAGCCGTACTGAATTACGGAAAATTATAGGCCACCAAGGATATTCTGCTTTAGGGTCAAAAAGCCTAAAATGAGAAAGTAATTTCTAAGTCACATTTAAGGAGTTTTGGGAGGATTTGTGGCTTGGGACGGCAATCGGTATAAATTAAGTCTTTGTAGGATACATCCCTTACTGTAACCAGGACACACACTATATGATGTATAGAAGCAGATATTGTCATGATCTTGGCACTGATGACTGGCTTAATTACTCATTTCATTCACCTGCTGAACTGCACCCCTTTTCTTGTCACCATTAATCTGGTGTTTTTTTGTATACACAGAGTGTATATAAAATGAAATTTCATTTTATACAGCTTTCAAGACATTTCCTTTGAGTGATGAGAGTGATTCAGCATTACCTTAGTGTTTCTGATTACCTGACTTGTTTGTCTACCCACCTATCATGGCCTGTTCTGCCTCTCAACCACTGAGCCTATCTGTTCCCCTCTGATCTGTTTCCCTGACCTGTTTTGGACTGCTGCTGGATTCTGCCTGTTTAATGAACTTTGAGCTGTTTCATGTCACAGACCTGGATTTCCCTTTGAAACCTCTTCTGAATTTTGATCCTGTTGGAAGCTGGAGAAGTACCACCTTTCTCCAGCAGAGTCCGCCGTGGATCCTCCTGAGCTGAGCCTCCTGCACAGCTGCAGCTCATTACATCATCAGAGGATCCACTACTTAAGCTGTCTTCAGAACTTGCCTCAACGCCGCAGTGTTGATCCAGTTGGTTAGCACTAAGCCTAGAACCTTCTGAGAACTTTTGTTGACTTTTGAATCCAAAATGGATTCTAACCTCTGTCTCTGTTTTCCAGGAAACCAGTCTTTCTCCTGTGAAGCTCTGGAAGAGCTTAACCTGCCAAGCCTGCCCTCTGAGCCAAACCTGAAGCCTGCCTTTGAACTTCCATGCAGCCTTGGATCAAGAGCTGGAAACCCTGAGCTTAGCTCTGTTCAAATCCTAAGAAGTAAGACGCTGAAGCAGCTTTCGGACTCTGCGAACCAAACTCTCTCCAGTTCCAACAACCTTCCTCTCAAAGCCTTAATCAAGGACCCTCAAGGTACAAGCCTGAAACTATATAAAGACAAATCCCTAAGTGCCTCGCTAACTGAACTGTCTTCCCACGCAGACCCCGGTGAACACATGTCCCTGGACCAGAACCAGAACCAGTATTCATTGTGCTTTGTAACAATAAACTCTGTTAAACTTTTACACCTGTTTACGTCTAGTGGTGTTCTGCATATTTGGGTCGCTTTAGAGAACCCATCATGACAGATCCTCACGGTTCTGAATCCTGAGCAGGCTGCCAGGATCTGCTTTCCTGCTTGTTCTCCCTCCTCCGGGGCTGCAGTGTCTGGGACACTCTGGGCGGCACCCGCCGCATATTGTTGGGCTTGATCTTACCTCGTTCTCTGGGTTTGAACTAGTAAACCGGATTAGTGACTCACACTCATAATTCTCCTCTGCCAGAGTTATGTGGTCACTAACCTGTGTTTTCTTTCCTGCAGAGATTCCTGTGATAGACGCCCTAGCCGTTGTTACTCCCAAAACAAAGTTTTGCTTTTGAATTATCTGTCTCTCTGCCTTGAATACTGGGTCCTCCGTACTGAGCCTTAACAGATATCTTGAGTATACCTATTCTGCTCTGTGATATTCAGGGTTTTTTCTGTTTCTAAACAGGTTGTATGGATTATGTAACTAAAGTCAAGGCACCCTTCTGTTAAGTGTGAGTACATGAAATTAATATAACACAATCCACAATGATTGCAATGTCTGTTTCGAGACACATGCCTTTCAGTCAAAGAGTAAAATATGAGAGTAAAAGAAAAAACAATTTGTGTTGAGTGGTATTATGCAATAGTGTTTAGTGTACTAGTGTGTGGTAACATCACATATTACCCCACACTATTATGCCAAACCATATCTAAGAAAAATCTGCTTACCTTCATGCAGATGTAACCATCATTTATATCAGAGGTGACACCTGATGCTGCCATGTAGGTGCTCCCAATTGTCTTGATTTTTGTGATGTAGCGAAATTTCGGCTCATCAAGCAGCTGGCATTAAAACAGAAAATAATATAGAGGAAATTACACTCAAAATTACAATTCCAGATTTTTTAGTAAAAGAAAGCTATTGTTTTGCTGTTCTATAAAGAGATCAGAAGACATCCAGTGATGTTTACAAGAATGTTCAAGAACAATGATGACACATTTTTTGAACAAACATAGTTTATCAATGAAGATTACGTGCAGCCAGACTCAACTTACAAGTTTCTTCATGGGACCAAAAATCTCTTAGTGAGCACGGCTTAGAAAGATACTATCGATACCCCATTGCAATTACACTCCAATCTGCACAGGAAGTTGAATCTGCAGAGCAGCTCTTTCTGAACTCATTTAAAGTTTAGAAATTCTTCCTCATATTCTCGTAAACAGGAAAAGGATAACACAATACCTGTGATTGCCTTGTATGCAATTGTACTTAACAACCAAACTAACTTTTTAGCTTCTTATGTTTTTTTTTTTAGCATATGGCATATATATCTATAGCATATATTATAGAAAAAAAAACATTAAAAGCTAAAAAGAGGAGGAAACTTCATCAATGTAAGCTGTTCCTTAATTATTAAGGAGTGCATCATAAGATTGAGAATGCTTAACGATTCTCTTATTGAATCCCAGCACCAGAGACTAGCACTGGGCAGCACGACTTACGTCATGTTTTTTACGCAAGTTAAGCACACTGCATTCAGTAAGCAATTACGATGTGGCCAGGCGTAAGTCTAGAAAAGCAAAACAAAAGAAATGGCGCCCCATCGGGTAAAGCTATCAAAAGTTTGGCTTCATTTTAAGGAAGAGACAAGTGTGCGATCACTTACACCATAATGAACTTTTTGAAGAGTTTCAGTCTGGCTTTAGAGCTCATCATAGCACTGAAACAGCTCTGGTGAAGTTTGCTAATGATATTTTCATGCCCTCAGATAATGTACCTGTATCTGTGCTTGATCATATATTCTTTTAGAAAGACTTGAATATTTTGTGGAATTAAAGGAACTACTCTAGACTTGGTTCAGTTTATTCACGTTAATGACAAATCTTCCTCATGCTCAATGGTTACCTGTGGAGTACCACAGGGATCAGTGCTAGGACCAATTCTCTTTACTTTATATATGCCCCTAATCGGTAGAGTTAATTGACAGCATGGGATTAATTTTCACTGTAATGCTGATGATACCCAGCTATATCTGTCTATAAATCCAGATGAAGCTAACCCATTACATAGATTACAGGCATGCCTTGACGACATAAAAACCTGGATAACTCTTAACTTTCTCCTTCTGAATACAGACAAAACAGAAGTTATAGTCTTTGGACCAGAGTCTTTTAAAAAGAAGCTGATTAGTCAGTCACTTCATTTGGATGGGATTAAACTGATTTCAGATAATAAAGTAAAAAATCTTGGTGTTGTTTTTGATCAGGACCTGTCATTTAAATCCCATATCAAAGAGGTTTCTAGAATCTCCTTCTTTTATCTGTGGGAATATTGCAAAAATTAGAAATCTCCTTTCCAGGGGTGATGCTGAGAAATTAGTCCATGCATTTTTTACTTCAAGGCTGGACTATTGTAATTCTTTACTATCAGGAAGTCCACAAACTGTAGTTAAAAGCCTTCAGTTGATCTAAAATGCTGCAGCCAGAGTTCTGATGAAAATTAAAAAGAGAGATCATATCTCTCCTATCCTGGCTTCTCTTCATTGGCTTCCTGTTAAATCCAGAATAGAATTTAAAATCCTCCTTCTCACGTATAAAGCCTTAAATGGCCAAGCTCCATCTTATATCAGAGATCGGATTGTTCCTTATGTTCCTAACAGAGCACTTCGCTCTCAATCTGCAGGTTCACTAGTGGTTCCTAGAATTTCTAAAAATAGAATGGGAGGCAGATCTTTAGTTATCAGGCTCCTCTCGTGTGGAACCAAATACCAGTTTTAGTCACTGAGGCAGACACCCTGTCTACTTTTAAGGCTAGGCTTAAAACGTTCCTTTTTGATAAAGCTTATAGTTAGGGTGGCTCAGGTTATCCATAGCTATCTCTATAGCTATGCTGCTATAGACTTAAACTGCTGGAGGACATAGGGACCCTCATTTCATCATTCTGCTTCTGTTGGGATCTGGAGCTGTACCACCTTCCTCCAGCAGAGTGTGTCGTGGGTCTCCTAGAGCTGGAGTCTTCCAGCACACCTGTGACGCATCTACTCATCAAGAGACCTGCCCTTTATAACCAGCTGCCAGACCTTGCTTGGACGCCGTAGTGTTGACCTAGTTTGGTTAGCGACCTGAGCCTCAAACCTGAAGAATCTTTGCTATCTCTTGAGAGAGATCTGATTCTAATTCTCCCTTGTTTTTTGCCTCACAGGAAACCTGTCTCTAACCTGAAGCTCTGGATGAGCTTAACCTGCCGAGATTGCCCTCGTGAGCCAAACCTGAAGATTCCTATGTGGATTCCCCTGCTGCTCTTGGCTAAGAGCTGGAAACTCAGATCAAGGTCTGCCTTTAAAGTCAGAAGCAAGACACTGCAGCTGCTCTTGGACTCTGCTGAACAAACAGTCTCTGGACCCAACGGTTCCCTCTCTCAAAGAGAGGCCCGGACTCTATCAAGGTACACTCCTAAATTATCAAAGACTCATAACTCATCAGCCTGCTTCCTAATCAAACTATCATCTCTGCAGACTTCAGTGAGCAGCCCGGACCAGTTCCTGATCAAGTTCATGATCTTGTGTTTTTGTGCAAATTCAATAAACTCTGTTAAACTTTTACCCAGCCTCCGTTGTGTTCTGCATGTGGGCTAAGAATCTAAGACCCATCATGACAGCTTCATTCTATCTCTATTCTCCCACTCTGCAGTATCTGTTAGTTCAATCTCTAACGTTATGCTCTCTGCTTTTTCTCATAGTAGCTTTACCTCATCTGTTCCTGTTTGGCTGTGACTTCATACTGGAAAGAAATATCAGCTGTGCTGCTGCCATCAACACCTTTGTTTCTAGATGTTGGAGACCTGGATGTGCTCTCTTCATCCTCTGATATGGGAGCTGGCTCAGAGCTTGTCTGCCTTGCTGTGTGTTTCCTAGATGGGACCGCCTTTTACAGCTGCTTTTTGTATCTCTGCTTCTGTCTCCTTGAAGCCCAGTCGGCCTCAGCAGATGGCCGCTCACACTGAGCCTAGTTCTGCTGGAGGTTTCTTCCTGTTCAAAGGGAGTTTTTCCTCTCCACTGTCTCTACAAGCATGCTTAGTGTGAGGGATTGTATTTGAGTCAATGCAATCAACTGGTTTACTTTAAATTGAAAACTTTGAATCAATTTGACTGTATGATCTGTTGAACTGTACAGTGCCTTGAGATGACGTGTTGTGAATTGGCGCTTTAAAAATAAACCCTAATGTCACCCTCAAAACCCTAAAGCTAAAGACTAAAGTCACTGAATTTGCTTAGAGAATAGGAAAAAAACTAAACAGGTTAGAGTTTTAATCTGTTAACCTTTAAGTAAACTATATGTCATCACTGACTTTACCCTTGTCATTTCCTTAAAAACAAATCATAGGTTACACATTTCGGTACATTGAATGAATCTTTCTTTTTTTGTCCTAAATGAATGCAACTTTAACATAAGTATGCTAAATAGGTCATATGTGTATAATTACATAAAACACAATACTTACACTATCAAAGTCTGAGATGATCTCATTGAGAAACCGAAGGCATTCAATGCCACCATTATTGATGCTCTCCTCTGTGTAAAAGTCAGAGAAGTTGGGAATTGAGGCAAACATGACACCAATCTCATCGTATGACTGGCTGTACAACTCCTGAAAAAAGCAGATAATAATTTTGAATACAAGATAAAGTATTTTATATATTCTTATTGTTTTGAGATGTAATTGTAGAATTCCAAACTGTTAATTTATAAACGGGTCTTATTTTGGTGTGTTGCAAAACACAGAAAAAAGTCAATTAACTTTCCAAGACCTTCTGTTATGGCAACGTTGTAATGTGAGGATGGGTGAGGGCTGTGTGGACCACTGATTATATAGATGAGGTTGTGGATCTGTTCCTCCCGTAGTCATACTGATGAGGGTCCACAGTGACGTTGATAGAGTCCTTCATTCGTGTCATGAATATACTCTCAAAACACATGCAGTAACTACAGATGCTAAGGCCATTGATTGGTAGTCATTTAAGCCTGCTACTATAAAGCATTTAGGAAGGGAAAATAGTGGTGGACTTGAGCAGGTTGGCACAGATGCCAGTGAGAACAACAACTCGAGAAGCTGTTGTGTACAGTCCTTTAGCAGCCCTTTTGGGATGTTGTCAGGGCCTGCAGGCTTATGATGAGGTCTTCCACATCTCTGCTTTGGTCACAAAGAGGGGAGTGTCACCAGGAGGGGAAATTAATCTGGTTCTGTTAGGGTTGTTGGGATTCTCAAAGTGGGCATGAAACCTGATGAGTGTCTTTGGCAATGAGTCATCCCTTGGGAATTTTGTACCTCTGATATTGCAGCCCATTTAATGCCCTTCCACATGTGCTGCACTTCACCTGAATTTTCTGGGACTATGTGGCTTTGGCCCTTGAAATGCAGGCCGTCTGTCAGAGTGCCGATGCCTCCCCTGTCCTGAACACAGAGTAACGCCACAAATGTAATATTTCCCGCAAAGGGAATAATAACCAGAAACATACAAAAAACATGCAGCTTTTAATGCAATAATCCCACAAACATAAAATGATTTCCACAAATGTACATGCTGGCCTACAATACCACTTTGAGTCAGATTTAGTGGGTTTATGGTTTAGTATTTTTATTCCTTTTTCAAATAAAACAAACAAACAAAAAAAAAACAATTTAATTGAGAGAAATTACTTTAGGCCTACAAAAAAATGGAGAACACTTATTTTTTTTAAACTGCCATACTTAATTAAATATATAAAAATACTGCAGCGGTACAAACTCTTGATTTAATTGTTCTGGAAGTCTAGACTGATAAATAATTTATGTTCATGTTCTTCTTCTTGGATTATTTATTTTTGCATCTGTAGAAGAGAGGATATTTTCCAAACTCATGTTTTATTAAACAGGCTAATTCTCCAAATGCAACAATACATTTACAAATGTTCTAATTATAAAACCCACTTCATATTGATATCTTTAGCTGGGATTGAAGAGCAGCTAAAGATAACAGCTGATCTTGTTTATTATATAGCTAAATAGAGCCAACTTGCACATCCAGCATCCAGTAGGTTGAGATGCTAGAAGGGCACAAAACGAAGAGACAATAAAATCAATATATTCCCTGTTCATTGTTTCAAATGTATTTGAAACAATGAGTATGATAATAAAAATTAAAAAGGGACTTTTTATTTTTTGTAAGCCTATTACGTAATAAAATTCAGGGGGAAGACAGCTTTTATCTTATTTTAATTTTTGGTTTTAAATTTAATAAAAGAATAAAAGAATGACACACAGTTTATGTTAGATTTTATTCATGAGCTGCATTTACTTGTGTTCTGAGAATGGGGGTATCAAGCAACAAACACAAAAACATTTGTAAAAAAATATATATATATTACGTCTGTTGGAAAATGTAATACGTTTGCAGGATTAAAACATGAAAAGTTGCATATGTTTGTGGTTTATTATGTTTGCTGGAATTATAACATTTGTAGGTGGTACTCAGAGCACCCTTTCAGCATAACTCTCACCTCAGCACTCAGCCAGGGTTTTTGTCCTGGCAATGCTGACATCATTAACACACTTAAAGAAAAAGCTGGAAAACAACAGGATTCCTAAAGGTGCACCTCTCCCTCATTTCCATTGTTCGCACATGTGCAGTGTGCGAAATCCAGGTATGTCGGCTGATAGACGCTCGGATCTCTGCTTCAACAGCAGGATTTGCCTACGCCGACTGAATTTCAAACATGTTTAATTTTCTCCTGACCTCATGATTCCTGATCGGGAGGTGAAGCTAAAACTCGGCGTGATCCAAAAAAATTCTCGCACGACTGGAGAATCGGCCCGAAATGGGAAAAAACTCATAGAGTGTACGGCCAGCTTTAGATAGGGTGGTTTACATGTCCTAGATATTGTGTACATAATCTTATTCTTGTACTTGCAATTTTTTGTTTTAGTACATGCAATATGCACTTACTATTTGGAATCTTAGAAGATCAGGAACTTAACATTGAACAAATAACTGGTAAAGTTAAGAGTAAATATATAGATTGTTACTGGACATAAGGTCTTTGTTTGAACTAAGAACATTTGCAGATGATAATCTCGAGTTATATTATCTCAGACATGTACTCTAAACAAAAGGAATGTACTCTAAACAGAAGGAAAGAAGGCAAACATAAGTTCTGCAAAACCTTTTAGAGTTAAAGCATGTCTTACCTCATCCCTTTTCTTTGAACCAAGGAAGTGTCGAGCCACATGTTCAGGTAACATATTTGTTACAAGTGCTTCATTCCAACGTCTCATTTCATATACTTTCTCCTTCTGCTCATGGACTTCTATCTTCCATAGGAAAAGTGTCCGAGCAAGCTTCTCCACCTACAGGAACAACATTTATTGATATTACAATTAGGCTTATACACTTATATCACATATTATTACATATCTTTACTTAATTTATATTACACTCGGTTTAGTAGTCCAGAGTAACGTGTTGGGTAGTTACTGGGTGGTGTATATTTTACAAGGAAAACTGTCATAATGGGCTTTAAAGATCTGACCCACATGCAGAGAACCACTCAGAGACCAATGGTAAAAGTTTAACAGGTTTATTGTAGGTTAGCAAACACTGATGGAGATTGAAACTCTGTGGGGAAACAATGCTGGAACTCAGCGGACTGGTGAACTGGAACCGGAAACTCTGAAGGGGAGATCACAGTGATCAGTTCAGGGACAGTGGAAAAATAGACTGAGGTTTGAATATTGCTGGAGAGGCACTCACTTGTGGGGGGCTCTTGGTTTATCCTTGAATCCAGTTTGTGGGGGGTTAATCCAGGAAAAGCGAACTATTCGGAGAGCGGACAGCCACACATACATTGGACCCAGAGGAGCGGATTGTCACTTGGTTTTCCAGGAGTGGACATGAACGGATCATGTGGAGGTTATCCCCTTGCTCAGTGAGACTCAGTAAATCCTTCCAGGGATAGAAGGTCCAGGCTTATCCAGTAACAAAGGAAGTCTTCTTGCCAAAGAACAAAGACAAAAAACAAGTTCAGACTCAGAGAAACAATGCTAAGATTAGACTCTGCTAATCTCAGTTCGGCTAGAGTACCCAATACTGGCAAACAGTCTGCAATCGAGGTGGTGACAGCCCGCTGCTCAAGTACTCCTCTGGTAATGACCCAATGAGCCACAAGTGTGCAGGGAGGCCCAATGAGGACAGAGCACCGCCTGGTGGTGGAGAGAGGAAACCACAAAAAACAACCCACATACACTGGAATCCTAAGAGTACCCCCCTCAACGACCTCCACGGTAGTCCAGCAGAGCCAGAGGGCTGGGACGAACAGAAATCTTTAATTAAAGAGGGGTCCGAAATAAAAGAACCAGAGACCCAAGAACGGTCCTCAGGACCATAACCCTCCTAATCGGCGGGGTATTGCCAGCCCCGCCCGTCCACAATCCTGCGCACAGTGTAGGCAGGGTGGCCGTCAACATCCAAGGGGGGAGGGGGCTCAGCGGGTTGGCAGAAGGAACTGGAATGGACAGGCTTGATCTGACAAACGTGAAAAGTAGGATGGATTCTGAGAGTGGTAGGGAGACGAAGGCGGACAGCAGATGGGGCAATGATCCTTTCCACCTCGTAAGGGCCAATGAAGCGGGAAGATAACTTCTTTGACATGGCTTTGAGGGGAATATCTCTTGTGCACAGCCAAACCTTTTGGCCAGGGGTGAATGTAGGAGCGACCCTCCTCCTGCGGTCAGCCTAACGACGGTTCTGTTTAGCTGTACGATTGAGAGCCACTGCAGTCCTATCCCAGACTGCCTTGCAGTGGTGAATATGAAGCTGTACAGATGAAACGGCAATGTTCCTCTCCAAAAACAGGAAACAGGGGAGGCTGATACCCCAATGAGACCATGGGACAGACCCATGGCTGAAGAGGTGTGGGAATTGTGGGAATACTCAACCCAGGGTCGATATTGGCTCCAATCAACGGGGTTTGTAGTTAGACTTCCAACTCCTGGTTTATGCGTTGAACCTGTCCGTTAGACTGTGGGTGATAGCCAGAGGTGAGTGAGACTTTGGCCCTGAGGGCTGAACAAAAACTTATCCAAACCTGGGAGATGATCTGAGGTCCATGGTCCGAGAGGATGTCTTGGGGAATCCCATGTAAACAGAACACATGTTTCACCAGGAGTTGGGCCGTCTGATAAGCTGTGAGTAGTTTTCTCAAAGAGACAAGGTGGCAGGCTTTAGAAAAACGGTTGATTGTTGTTAGGATGGTGGTCCTACCTTTGGAGGTGGGTAGGCCAGTGATTAAGTCAATAGCAATATGCGACCAGGGTCGTTCAGGAATGGGCAATCGCTTTAATAGCCCAGCTAGAGGCAGATGAGAGGACTTGTTCTGAGCACAGGTTGGGCAGGCTAAGACAAACTCTTTAACATCCTTCTGCACAAATGGCCACCAGATTGATCAGAGCCAGAGTCCTACTGACGCCTGGATGAGCTGAAAACTTAGAAGTATGAAACCAATTAAAAGTTTGGGCATGAATAGCAGAGGGTAAAGAAAATCCTGTTAGGAGGACCAGTTCCGGGATCAGGCCCAGATTGCTGAGCTTGTTTTACAAGGTCCTTGATTTCCCAAGTAACAGCAGCAACTGAGCAGCTAGGAGGGAGAATAGGAGCAGAAGTTTTCTCAGAGTCGTCAGGGGCGAACTGTCTTGATAGGGCGTCAGGCCTGGACGGTAGGAAATGGAGAGGTTAAATCTGGAGATAAACAGCGACCATCGGGATTGAAGAGGGTTAAGCCTTTTAGCAGACTGAATGTAAGACAGATTTTGTGGTCGGTCCAAACCACTACCGGGTGAATCTTATGATCAGAATCAGAAATCTGAGAGAGCACTGCTCCAACTCCTGAATCTGAAGCGTCCACCTCTAGAGTGAACTGTTTGGTGAGGTCAGGTTGAATGAGTACTGGAGTATTGGCAAACAGGTCCTTTAACCGGTTGAAAGCTGCGCCAGCCTCAGGAGTCCAGATAAAGGGGGTCTTGATGAATGTTCGAGATGAAAGGGGTAGAAATGTTTGGCTGTAATTGCGGATGCAACGCCGAAAGAAATGAGCAAAACTCAAAAAATCTTTGTAATTGTTTCCTTGTCTCAGGAGTGGGCCATTCCAAAACTGCCTTAAGTTTTTCCTCTGTGGGTCTTACCTGTCCAACCTCTAAGATGAAGCTCAGGAAAGAGACAGATGGTTTGTGGAATTCACATTTCTCGGCCTTGACAAAAGGCTTGTTTTCCAGAAGGTGCTGAAGAACTTGACGAACGTGGATCCTGTGCTCTGACAGGTTCTTGGAAAAAATTAAAATGTCATCAATATAAACAAAAACAAAGATATTAAGGAAGTCTCTCAGGATGTCATTAACTGGAGTCTGAAAATAAGCAGGGGCATTAGTCAAACCAAAAGGTATCACCAGATATTCAAAGTGTCCGATAGGAGTCTTAGGCGGTCTTCTATTCATCCCCCTCCCTTATAAGGAGAAGATGATAGGCGTTTCTTAGATCCAGTTTGGTGAACACTGTAGCTCCTTGGACAGGTTCAAAAGCAAAGGACAAGAGTGGCAAAGGGTACCTTTTCTTTACTGTAATTTGGTTGAGGTCTCTGTATTAAATTCAGGGCCTAATGAGACCAACCTTCCTTCTTTCCCACAAAAAAGAAGCCTGCCCTTAGGGGTGAAGAAGAGGGTCGAATGATGCCAGCAGCCAGGGACTCTTGAATGTATTTCTCCATAGTTTCCCTCTCTGGCTTGGAGATATTAAACAGGCGACCGCTGGGTAAAGGTGCTCCGGGAAGCAGATCTATGGCACAATCATAAGGTCTGTGGGGAGGCAGAGACAAGGCTTTAGACTTGCTACAGAGGAGACATCAGGAGGGTGTGCCTCACATCCTTCAGCCGGTTGAGCACCTGGGGGAACTGTCGAACGAGACAGCATAAGTGGCAGTTAACAGACCAAGAGTCTGTTGGCCCAATTTATTGTAGCCATTCAAAACCCAAAATTAAGGCAGAGTTAGCAGCTTAGAACACATAGAAGGAGATGCCTGCAGTGTGATTGCCGGAAACAGTTGAATAGGACAGGTCTGATGTGTTATTTGAGGCAGATTTCTGCCATCCATGGCAAAAACTCGAAGGGGGGCTTGAAGGAGTATTGTCTCAATACCCCTCTGTTGCACAAAAGACGAATCCAGTAAGTTTTTCTCACGAGTCGAGACGATTTGATAGGGAGAGGGACTTATTATGTATTTGGAGTGATGCAGGCAAAATTAGACGAGGATAAGTAGAAGTAATCTTCTGGTCCGCCAGCAACCTTGCCTTTACTGGTGAACCCTGGCTTTTAACAGTATGGGATAGGCAGAAACAAAATGGCCAGCTTCTCCACAGTAGAGACACAACTTAGCCTGCTGCTCCTGCTCAGGACTCAGTCTCGTGCTACCTATCTGCATAGGTTCAGGGGGAGAAGGACTGGAAACAGCCTCAGCTGAGTGGTTAGTAACAGGAAGAGGTTTGGTAGGTGTTGAGCCCAAGCCTCTTTCCTTGGCTTGGGCTTGAATGCTGTGCAAACAGATTAAAAGCTCAAGGTGGTGACATCCCACTGCCCAAGTACTCTTCTGGTAATGACCCAACCTAGCTGCAAGTGGTACAGTGATCATGAAGCGGACAGAGAGAAGTATTCACACCTCCAAAAGCTGTAATAACCAACTGTTATTACAGCTGGTTATTACAGCTTTATCCCCAGTTCAAGGGGATAAAGTGATTCTATTTTTATAATATGCTAAGACAGTAAAAAAGTAGTCAAATTAAAATGACCCAGGCCACACCTTTAATATGGATGTAATAGTTGAGACTTTGAAGTCTTTGTATTTCTTCAGGTCTGTAACTAAAAGGATTATGTTACAAATTACTTGTAGCCAGCAATTAGGTAAGGTTGGAACTTTACAGATTGAGAAGGGAATGCAACACACCCAAATGTTTTCAGTCAATATAAACTGGCTTGTAACTACTTTTATAGCTCTTGGAGTTCATCACAGAAGACACATTAATATGAAGAGGACCAGTGGGCCAGGGACAGTGGCCGAAGGAAGACAAATAAACATTGTTTTTGTGACCAAACAAAGCTAGGCCAAATGGCCTTTGTTTCCGTCTCTATTTTTTGGGTCAACGTTTCACAAAGTCCACATCTGAAGTACTGTGTTCATTTTGGGCTTTTTTTGTTTGATTGTTGGTTTTTATCTACTAAATCTCTGAGCAGAAGTCAGATTTTTCTAGAGATGACACCTGCATCAACTTCCTGCCAAAGCTAATTCCACAAAAAAAAGCTTG